TCCACTAGTGCATGAGGCTAAACTACTCCTTACCTCCGACTGGTATACGAGGTTAAACTACTCTCCGAACTCCCACTTGGTCAAACCTCTAGATAGTTAGGTCCAAAGCCAAAGTCCATCGTCAATCCTCTCCAATAGAATGACGGGTCCCCCAAAACTATCATGTTAACAGTCACCTTTGACAAATCAACTTATTAGTCCTCTCCAATAGGGTGGTGAGTCCACAAAGTTGCTCAAAATCACAACAAACTCTCACTGTCACGTTAACAGTCACCTCTGATAATTAACTTACCAATCCTCTTCAATAGGATGGTAGGTCATCAAAATCACTCCAACCGCGACAATCTCGTCATGTTAACACTAAGCCTCTGAAAAAATCCCTCACTAATCCTCTCTAATGGGATGGTGGGTTTACAAAACTATCACGTTAATGATTACCTCTGATAGTCAACTTCGTCATTCCCGCAAATAACATTGTTCGATCAGTCATCACACTCATACGTCCCTGAATAACCTGATCCATTCTGTATGTTCTAATATTTTTAGAACAATCGATGGGTAGTAGCCTATCGTACGATGTGCTACTATATCAATCAATCATCACACTCATATGTCCCTGAACGATTTGATTACCCTAACACCGATATTCCCGCAAATAGCGTTGTTCGTCGATATTGGCCTACCAAGCGATGTGCCCTATCGACCTCTCCATTCTGAACAACGATCCACCAAGCGGTGAATCGTTATTTGGACTCTATCTTGGTCGTGCACACATATGACCATTCAAGTTAGGCTAAGTTGTTAATATTTAACGGCATAACCTAACCTAGTTATGACTTAACGATCGTAATTAAGCCAACCCTACGCCTCAAACGGCTAAGGGTAGAGAAGAAATTTTAGCATTAAGTCTAAAAGAAACTTCTCGACAACTCATCATACTGAGGGGAATAGTATGACTAGCCCGATTTAAACGGTAACCGGTAAAGGAAAATCAAACCGTTGATACCTGAGGCTTTGCTAAAAATCCTAAGTGTTGGTCGACAAGAAGGAAAAAATGCACGAGTTATTCAAAACACAATGATCAGATGACAAAGGCATAATTTCATTCATAATAGCTGATTTTGAGACAATACATTCAAACAAAGTCATAACAAAACAAAAAGCATCTCAAGATCAATCCACCCCATCGAGTTTAGCCCAGCAAACTGAAGGACGCGAGCTCAGCCCTGACAGCGGCTATCTCCTTCGCCCATTTCGCTCGGATCTTCTCCTCCTCTTCCTTCTGAAACTTGGCCTCAGCAAGAGCGGCAGTAACTTC